CACAGATTCTGACAAACCTGGACATTGTTCTGCAATGGCTATTTAAGATACTTAAAGCATCAAGAAAACATTGTTTATCTACAAAATTATTTCCAGACAAACAACAAAGAAGAAACTGGCAGAGTAACAGATGTTAGCCCTCACATCCCTACGGCAGCTCTTTTCACTAGGAGAGTCACCCCCCATTTTTCTGCTAAAAGAAAATAAAATTAAACACTGTGATCCAGAACACAAATGCCTTAAAATAGTCTCAAACAGATAAATACGCCACAATCCATGTAAACATGTGATCAACTCTTCATACTTGCTTTGAAGATATTGCTTGTAATTCAAAGGTATTTTTAATCTTGCTCTATTGAAGAAAAAAGGAAAATAGGAAAGATTTCCCTCTGGAGTTTCACACACCCATTAATACAGGAACATTAAAGTAAGACCTCGTATGCAAGAGAAAAAAGCACTTGTGACCAGCACCGTATAAAACCATGGTATCTTCTTCTTTTTTTTTTTCTCTGACATTTTAAAAAATAATATAATCTTAAAATAGATTGAGAAGACTTCTGATTTACTGCCTACAAGTATGTCTGTATTAAAAAGTTCTAGCATTTTTTAAAACAGGAATTTAGAACATATCTTCAGTGATTTCACCTGCTACTCCTGGTCATCAATTTATATGTATGAATGAATTTACTAATCACCTATACTTTTGGATAACTAAAAGAAAACCCACCAAAAGGTTATACTCTATGAATGCCTTCAGACCCATGGGTCTTCCAATAGAATAGTTCAGTTGGAAGGGACCTACAACAATCATCTAATCCAACTGCAACCTTGAAAATAGCCTTAAATGCAAAACCCAAAGAAATTCCCATTAAAACCATGTAGCTGCTTCACTGCTGAGGTGGCTTCATGGTTCAATTGGTTTTCTCCTTTGGCCAGTGTTACATGGCTTCCAGAAGTCCTCAGCATAACCTGATCTTAAAACAGAGGGGCTATGGACAGCTTCCAATGCATCCTATCTGTGACTCCTACATATTGCTGTGACCTGGAAGGAAAACAACTCTCAGTTTGCATACCAGTTCAAATCATAGGCGTCCACTGCAATATCCAGCTTCTGATATTATTACATGAAGTAGCATACATTCTAAAATAAAAATCAACAAGTTGATTGATTTTTCAAATTGGTTGGTTACTCAGAGTAATGCTGCTGTTCCCTCGCAAAGCAGTTTGTGGTGCTTTTATCACCATAGACCTCCTGTAATATTTTAAGCCCGTAACAGAAATCTGAGTAATCAAAATCAGCTGCCATAATCAAATGCATTTTTGTGATAGAAAACCAAAAAAGCAGACTCTAACAGCAAGATACTTACTAAAACAATATATAACTAGGTATACTGTGTTAGAATTGCACCCTGTATTTCTGACAGTGGCCAACTGATATGCCACCATCGTCTCATCTCCTGATTAAATTCATTTTTCTGTTGTAACTAGTTTTTTTTATATTCTAATTTAGGAGATTTTCAAAGCATCAGTCAGAACTGACTCACATATGATTAATTAATTGTTGCCATTTCAGTGTAAAATAAAGTTATTTTGCAGCATACCTATAGACTGAAATATGAGGGTATTTGAGTTTTACAGTCTGGTTAATATATGCAGTCTTTACTTCAGCATGGCTCAGCTGGAATCACGTAGCAGCTACCTGAAAACAAATATGGGCTACTGTCACAGGAACAACAAAATTACTCAGAGACATCTTTGTCATGGGAAGGTGGAACAAACACTATAGAAGTTGACATAATAAAAATAAGGGGCACAATATATTAAATGACATCTTCATTTATATTTTCTAGAATGAAATGTCAAAATTAGTTTCTTGATTTAATTTTAAAATAAAATTAGGAAACAGCCAAGCAACAACTAAACACAGGACAAAAGGATTATATTTACTGATGAGTACTTCAACTTAGCGTCTCCTGTAATTTTTCCTGATCACTTCAATAACATGAAGTACATTCTTCAATCATGCCTGAAAAATTATTTAGGTTAAATTACATTTAATAAACAAGTTATTGGGATATTCTTACAAATAGCCATTATAATTTTGATTTGAACTATTAATTACATTGTTTAATATTTACAGCATGTAGCTTCTACAACATCGTACCTACGTAAGCAATGCATGGAGAAAACACATTAAAATAAAATAAAAAATTTTGAAATACTGGAGCAACTGCACTTCCCAGCAATAAATATAACTAACATCTGATGCAGAAACTGCTTGGCACTCGTACAGCTTTGTGAAGGGTTTTTGTTGTGGATAAATATTTTTCTGCAATTCCTCTTACACACCACTCAACTCAGACATTTTCTTTAATTATAGTCCAAGGAGTGCTTTCACATCCGTTAAAGAAAGGTAATTTTTTGTCTAAAAGAGCGCATACATACTTGAAATTTTAACTGTGATTCATCTATCTTCTAACATATAAAAAGCCAATGAAATATCTATGATCAATGGACTGACTTTCACAAGAATATCTAATAAAACTCTTAATGCTCATTATTTTCATTAAATCCTTAAATATGCTCTTTTTCAAAATAAGGAATGGTCTTATGATAAAGCATTCTACTTTCATTTCACATTTCAACAGAGAGGAAAATAACACAGTAAAGCCTTTAGGAAAGCAAGAAATTGCCACTTCTACATCGCCCAAATTGACTGAATATGGCTCTCACTTTGCAAACACAGCAAACACAGGATATAATATTTTTCAGGGATAAAGTATCAACTTTGTAACATTCACCTTTTTTGTGTGTGTGATTTTGGTTTTGATATACACTGAGCTTTTGATCCCGTTTGTTTGGTTTTGGTTTTTGATTTTTTGTTGGTTTTTTTTTCCCCTGAAAATATGCATAAGTTATGTACATTTAACAAAATTCTTGCATTCAGCATTTCAAATAGACTCAAGGTAGCAATCAAGGCTTGTTTGCTGTGTTAATACACCAAAAGGTTTTTTTTTTTTTCGGAACAGTATTCAG